ATCCGCTCCGGTACAACCCATCACCTTCACCCAGCACCACCGCCATCACCACCCAGCATCGCCATCACCACTTACCACCAACATCATCACCTACCATCGCAAACCCACTACCACCCATTACCAACCCACCACCAACCACCACCATCATTACCACCTACCACCATCATCACCCACCACCACCCATCATCAACCCCCACCACCACAATCACCACCATCACCAATCCACCACCACCCATAACAAAATCCACCACCACCATCACCAACTCACCCCCACCAACACTACTCATTAACATCCCATCACCACCCCACCACCACTTCCATCACCACCAACACCAGCCACCACCAATCTATCACCACCCCACACCACCACCCTTCACCCACTCACCACCACCACCACTATCATCCCCTCCATCATCAACCCACCATCATCACCAACCTACCACCATCACCAACCCACCACCATCGTTACCCACCACCACCCCCATCGCCAACCCACCACCACATTCCGTTTCCCCATTACCTACCCTGAAGCTACACCAATACTTTAGTCATCATATTCTTGACATGCTATCCGCAGGAGCACCGTATAATACCAAACTCTCACGCGCTACCATTATGAGAGCAAGACAGGCCCAAACACCGCGCTGCTTTGGCTACCCGCTCTCTCCCTTAACTACTTTCCTTGCGAGGCTATCAGGGGAAGTACACCAATCACATTAGCTCAACATTCTCACTCCAACACCAGTGTAAGGAAAGTCCAACAGGTGCCGAAATAGCAGTGTAGCATCCTAGATTTTAACAGAAGCCTCTTAGTTTGATATACAGGTAGAGGTAGCATTTCATGATAGTTGTTTTGTTTGTTCTTCATAGGGTAGCAAATTTAGCTTTTCATATTTTTTAAACATTTCGCTCAATAGTCTGAATACAAAAATGTTTTGAGCTTAATGGAATAGTGTATCTTATAATATAACACAGTAAGGAAGGCATTTGATCCAACACGCCAAGTGGCTGTTTAAAACCTATTGACATCCTTTGACGCTGGTCACAGATAATGGAGTGCGTGTCACTGATTCTTTGCAGCCATACAGTGAGACGCGACTCCACATCTCTCTCCTCCATACTTTGGTGTCAGAGTCTAGAACTTCTTATATATCTTACAAACTTTGACACACCATCAGAGTAATTACCAAGTTGTAAAATAACCACAGGGAGAATATTATAAAAAAAACAACCTGATATGTATTTTTTTTCTGCCCTGTAAGAATGTCGATATATCAAAGATTATGGCCTTGGTAACAACTGTGCGTCCACTAATATTGTACTATAGACTGGTTATTCACTTGAACATGATAATGTAGATATAACAAATGACTCCTATAGCTACCAAACTGGAACTTTGAGAGAGTGAAATAAATGAACTCTAAAAACATTCCAAAGTTGTTCACCCCTTTACCACAAATTCTTCTTCAATGACATAATGGGGAATTTTTTTTATCCTTAACACCTGTTCAGAGTTTCTTATATCATCACAACTCATTTGTGAAAATTTACCCAAGAGAAATATATGCTCAGGTTTTGAGGAACTAGATATTTTCCATACGAGTTAAGCTACATAGTTTGTGTGGGTGAATATTCCAACAAGATCCATTAGAAATGGCACGCCAATACCCCCCACCCCACCAGGCATTTTTTTTTCTTTTTTACGGGAAATAGCCGGAAAACCAGCTTTTTGAAGTGAGACAGTGTTACGGTGATAATTGGATTGGTAACACGTTTAATATTTCTTAAAATGTGATAAAAAATAAAGATTACTATTTTAAGATTTTTCAACTCTTACTTTAGAGAAAAAGACAGTGGTAACGAGAAGCGTCAATCTGTGAATTTTCCTACAGTTCTTTAAAAAAGGGGCAAACGAACCATCAAAACCTAACTTACCTTTACCTACCTTAAATAAAATATATTATAAGGCCATTAAATTAGAAGATGGGATGGGTTTAGTTGGATTTGGTTGGTTAGTTTTATGTGTTGATAAAGGAGGCTTGTTCGGTTATCTAGTTAACGGGACAGATGTGGCAGGAGATTGAAACAGCTGTACACGAGTCACCAGCTGAAAACTGATCTCTTCATTATAAATGAATATCGAGATACAACAAAACTTTGGAAAAGTTTTATCTTAGAAATTAAAGGCAAGAAATAACACTGTGCACCTAGAGTAAACTTCATTATTACCACGCTTTAACGAAGGGTGCATCACAAGTCTTAATAATTGTACCCATTATCTAACTAGTGTACAGCAAATGACCGTGTAGACATAGATATAGGCTATGATCTGCCCCTCAAAACACTCCGGGTAACGTCGTGTTCCCCAGCTAGCATCCTAGAAAGTTAATCCAAATATGCAACATGTACAGTACAGACAGGGCGCAGCGGTCGAGTGGATACAGCATTCGCCTCCTGATCCAGGGGGGCATCGCAACACTGAAATAATTTACAGAAGATCCATTGCAGTGGGAGCTGTTGGACTAGGTGGCAGACACTTCGGCAACTGTCTCCACAGATCTGCTTACACAGTTACCTGTTGGTGGACAAGAATGGAAGGTGGAGGATCCAGGCTGCAGCACAAATTTAGAAGAGATCTCTAAAATTCTAATGATGACCAAATGCCTCTTTCACCAGTCCCATGCAGAAACCGTAGTTGCATTCCCCAAAGCAAAGTTTGCGATGCGATTCCCGGTCTCTCCTAGTTCACCCAGCTGTAAATGGGTACCTAAGTTTACAACTTGGGGAACTAACGAAGGCTTAGTTTTCAGTGTGCTGTATCTACACTGTCCCTAACTGGCACTCATGCCTATGGCACTCACTTTTACAGAATACATGCGTCTTTTTGTAGGACGTACAGAACACCTAACCTTGCGACTTCGTACAGTTCACATGTAATGTACTGAACCGGTAGTGAATGTTGATTATACTATAGTGGTCCACTGTTCTTGTTTATTTGGCCTATCTAATACATAGTTTCATTACTCTCTCTCTCTCCCTCTCTCTCTCTCTCTCTCTCTCTCTCTCTCATGCAGATCACAGACCCGATAGCGTCATCGTGTACCTTGGCCTGAATGAGTTTGTCTTCAACTTGGAGCTGCCTTTCCTCACCTGGTCCAGCTATTGCTTCGTGGTGGACAGCGTGGCCAACAACGTTGCCGCCTACTTCGACAATGTTGCCCTCGTTTCCCCTCAGCACCTGCCTGGTGACCTCCTGCCTGTGCCAGGGAGCGGCTATATCCTCCTGGGTCAGTCCCCTCCTGAGCATGAAGAGATTGATGTCTGGTCAGCTCTGCTTGGGGAGATGGCCCATGTTCACTTGTGGGCTGTGGCACTAGCTGAGGCAGACTTAGCCCGATTCGGTAAGTGTCTTACTGTGAAAGAGAAGCCAGTGCTCACCCTGTCTCCATCAGAGTGGATGCTGAATGGGTGGGCTTCTTGGGTACACACACAAGCTGTGGATACTGTGTGTCAGATGGTACCCCTCACCCACACCAACCTTGTCTTCTTGGGCTTCCACGACAGGAAAAGTGCACTCAAATTATGCAATACGCTGGACGGTCGTCTTCCAACCCCGCTTAACAAAACTGCAAACACACTCCTGCTGGAGGCCATACAAGCTCGTGGTTACATCGACAACGGAATGTCTAGTGTTCATCTAGGGTTCAGGAAGTCCAAGAAGCTTTGGGTGGACGAGTACACAGGCGCCACACTCACTTACTTTAACTGGGGGTCTGATGGACCTATGTTTGGAGTGCAAGACACCACTCTGGTTGTGGATACTGAGAAAGGGATCTGGTTCGGGGAACTTCCCTCTCGGAAGGCCACAGTGGTGTGTGAGGTCCCAAGATATATGTACATTCTGAGAGGTCTTTGCACAGATTCTTTGCTTACGAAACAACTGTGGCTGCACCAGACGCTGAGCGGAAGCCTTATGTTCCGCGCGTCGGGCACCGCAACACTGAAATCATTTATTGAAGATCCATTGCAGTGGAAATTGTTGGACTGGGTGGAAGACACTACAGCAACTGTTTCCACAGATCCACTTACACAGTTACCTGTTGGTGAACACGAATGGAAGGTGGAGGATCCAGGCTGCAGCACAAATTTAGTAGAGGTGTCTAAAACTCTATTGCTGACCAAATGCCTCTCTCACCAGTTCACGTGCAGAAACCTTAGTTGCATTCCCGAAAACAAAGTTTGTGATGGGGTTGTTGACTGTTCCGACGCCAGTGATGAGTCTGAGTGCTACAAAAATGTTCTGCTCCCAAGTAATTACGTCAAGGTTCCCCCTCCTCGAAGCAACAACGGCGACCCCCTCAGTGTGGAGTGCAGCGTCAGCATCGTAAATTACCTTGAGTTTGACATTAAGAAAATGAAGGTAAAAGTTGATATGATTCTGGATTTGCAATGGCAAGATGAACGTCTCCTCTACCAAAATTTAAAATATGATAACGTAAACCATATGATGGGATACTTAGAGAGGATCTGGATGCCGGACACTAAACTGGTGAGTGACGTCGGTGTAGACGCAACCGTCAATGTGGAGAGCCAAAGCTTGACCTCTACGCTCAATGGGCAGCCACTGGCTGAAGATTTGACTAGAATACAGGAGGGTGAGTCGTCAAATGATTTTAATCATACACGAGTGTACAATCACCCACAAAAGTCCTATTGCTTCTCCTGCTGCTATACGAACACCGAGATTCAGACTCGTGAACTCGAAGCAGTAGACACTGATGTATTATTCTATTCATAAATACTTTGGATTCACGAGTCTGAAACTCGAGGTTTGTAGTTCAGGAGGAAAGGCGACAGTATTTTTGTGGGCGACTGTACATAAAGTAAATTTGTGCATAAATATGATACACATTAACAGTATTTACACGTAAACAAGACGCATTTAAACATGTCTTCTCTTAAAAATCTCGTTTTTTTTTCAGGCCACATATTCTCTGGGGGCTCCGTGGTTCTACGACTGCAGAAAAAAATAACCGTCACCTACACCTGTGACCCAGACCTCGCAAAATTCCCCTTTGATATCCAGATCTGCAAGTTATGGATCATCCTTCTAATTGGTCAGGAAAACGAGTTCAAAGTAGGGATACTAAAAACACTCGAGACTTATCGCCCACGCCTACTGGAGTACGAGATAGATAACATGACCCTCAGTCGTGCCACGACACTGCTAGATAAGAAAGAGGCCCTCTTGCTGACCACTGATTTCCACCACCTATACGGGTATTACCTCCTTAGTATCTACATGCCCACTCTCCTCCTTGTCGTCGTCTCCTACCTATCCTTCTTCTTCGAAAAAGATAACTTCTCCGATCGCATGATGGTGTCGCTCACAGCGCTGCTGGTCCTCTCCACCTTCCTCTCCACCGCCTCGTCCAATATGGCCCGCGTTTCCTACTTTACTTTCATAGATATATGGCTCGCCTTCTGCATCACCTTCGTCTTTCTCATCTGCCTCTGTCATACCACCATCCTGTTCTTCGGGCGGCCCACTCCTTCACCACACAAGGTCGTCATTGGGATGAGGGTGAGCCCTATGACACGACCTTTCAGTTCCCTGGCCGAGAGCAACCATCACCTCGCCAAAACTGACCTCGTGTGCAGGGTCACGCTGTTCCTTTTCCTCACTGTCTTCATTATTCTCTACTTCACATTCGGTGTTTTTATAAGAAATTTTCATTGAGTTTCCTCAAGCCACTAGTGGTGCCGGGGACTTGGTGTCGGGGAAGTTCCTTATATATTACTTAAAGATATTCCTCAATTTTTCGCATGACAGCATAAAAAGATGGTGCAGGTGATGCAGCCATATATGTTCCGGTACCACAGATATTCCTGCCTCCTGCGGAAGCCTGGGAGAGAAAGGGGAAGGGTAATCCGGAGGGACGAATATATATATATATACTGTATATATATATATATATATATATATATATATATATATATATATATATATATATATATATATATATATATATATATATATATATATATATATATATATATATATATATATATATATATATACATATATATAAATACAGTTGTACCCCACTTAACGCAGTCAATAAAACCCAGAGGGTACGGTTTTAAGTGAAAACCGCGTTAAGTGAACAACAGAACATATGGGATTAATTCCAATAGAAACCGGCCCGACCCCCAAACTCCACTTTTTGACGACACATAACTATGTTGTAGTAAAAATAACATCTTAATTTTATGATGGTACATGCACACAATTAATACTTAAGAGAAATAGAGAAATACAGTCGCCAAGTTAATGTCCATTCAAATAATGGACTCAACTCCCTCCCCCTCTTCTCACACTACACTGCTGGCTCTTCCCTCTCTGAGAAATTTTTGGGGAAAACCACTAAATTTTAATAAATAATACCTCAAACTAAAGTTAGGATAATACAATTGACATTGCTGGATTCCTTGTAAGACCAGGAATATTTTGAATATAAATGTCATATATTTTGCACAAGAGAGAACATATTTACTCAGAGTAAACATTTTATCTAAAATTTGTATGTCTAATGCAAAATATATGATGTTTATATACAAAGTGATCACCAAATTGTAAGAATTCCAGCAATGTAAATTATATTCTGGCCGGGTAATTTGTATGAATTTTATGAGCTAAAACAAATATCTTCAGTTAATAAAAAAAAAATATTCTTCACGACACTATCTGTCAATCAAAGTACCCCACCTTGCCTCCCCCCCTCTTCCAACCGTGCGGTCAGTCCCAACCCTCCCACCCACCCCCCACCAATCCACCCTTCAAGAGAGGTTGGGTGAAAAAACTAAATTTTAACATTTTGTATTAAATAATACCTCAGATTGAAGTTAGGATAATATAATTGACATTGCTGGATTCCTTGTAAGACCAAGAATATTTTGAATATAAATGTCATATATTTTGCACAAAAGAGAACATATTTACTCAAAGTAAACATTTTATCTAAAATTTGTATGTCTAATGCAAAATCTATGATGTTTATATTCAAAATGATCATCAAATTATAAGAATTCCAGCAATGTAAATTATATTCTGACCGGGTAATTTGTATGAATTTTATGAGCTAAAACAAATATCTTCAGTAAATAAAAAAAAAAATATTCTTCACAGGGTAACAGATGGTCGGTCGGTCCCTCCCTCCCCCCCACCCCCCACCAACCGTCCCAACCAGATGTGTGGGAAAACCAGAATATTTAACTTTTTAGTAATAAATAATACCTCAAACTAAAGTTAGGATAATATAATTGACATTGCTGGATTCCTTGTAAGACCAGGAATATTTTGAATACAAATGTCATATATTTTGCACAAAAAATAACATATTTACTCAGTGTAAACATTATATCTAAAATTTGTATGTCTAATGCAAAATCTATAATGTTTATATTCAAAATGATCATCATATTGCAAGGATTCCAGCAATGAAAATTATATTCTGGCCAGGTAATTTGTATGAATTTTATGAGCTAAAACAGGCAGGCAGGCAGGCAGGCAGGAGGGTGGAGCGAATCTAAAAATAGGGTCTGAGCGGACACTCTGCGCCTATACGTGGAAAAAGCCCATGTTAAGTGAAAGTTCCAGAGCCGGTATACGTGAAATCCGCTAAGCGAAACCGGTTAAGCGGGGTATTACTGTGTATATATATATATATATATATATATATATATATATATATATATATATATATATATATATATATATATATATATATATATATATATATATATATATATATATATATGTATATATATTTTTAGTCCATATAACACGCGGACTTTGAACATATAATCAACAACCTCACCAGCCAGGACTCGAACCCTCGACCTACTGTGTAGGACCAGGGAACGTTACCGACCATTTATTTATTTATTTATTTATATATTTATTTACTTATATATTTATTGATTTATATATTTATTTATTCATAGTTATTTATTCAAATATTTATTCATTCATATATTTTTTATTCATATATTTATTTATTAATATATTTATTTATTCATATATTTATTTATTCATATATTTATTTATATATTTATTTATTTATATATTTATTTATATATTTATTCATTTATATATTTATTCATTTATATATCTATTTATTTACTTATATATTTATTTATTTATATATTTATTTATTTATTTATTTTTATTTTTCAACACTAGCAGAACCTATGCCCTGATACCCAACACTTGGGGGTTCAGATCCTCAAAAGTTCGTATTTCTACTTCTTACAAGCGATATAAGAACACATAAACGACTCACGTAAACACGGATATAAACATGTATATTCCCAAAAATTCGCATTTTATTTATTTTTTCTTAAACATAAACGTGAGAATGTAATGACCTGGTTTACAAAAGCAATGTCACAGAAATGGTGTGCAAACTGGCGATGGGACCTCACCGAAGTTCTTTCCGAGTTACAGTAGATACTGTATACAGTTTTGAACCACGGTAACTGTATGAGTGGTTATCAATGTGTAGGCTATAATAATCTCACAAAGTATATTACCCAACAGCACATGTACAGTAGCACACAGATGTCTGGCCGTTGGTCGATTCTAAGCTCATATAAAAATGTTTATTGTTCATCATTGTTTTCTGACTTTCGGGGTAATTCCTGTGTAATACCTAACAAAATAAAATGCATGTCTGCCAGTTGATAAATTCTGCTGTGATCCAAAAGTCTATTTATTGTGTGTATTATTGTTTTATTACCCATTAAACTGGTGCCAAGTTTGGTGAAAAGGTCTTTAGTGGTACAGAGTCTGCGTAATGAGTGGTAACGGGCAAATGAAAGACAGACAGGCAGAAGAGCAAACTATACACTATAGTTAATGAATTGTAAGCCATTTAAAAAACTCCAGGAAAAAACTCAAAGGTTCTAATAAAAAAAAATCTTAGTGGTTTGAGAACTAGTCTCCATCTAGCTCATATACGTTCAGGCACAGTACAAGGCTAGGGAGTAAATTAGGGTCAAAATTGCTTCAAGACAACTACTGTATATTTAAGTTGCGTTCTCATAAACCGAGTTATGGGAATAAGTTAATGTAAGAAAAGCTCCTATGCCCTGCCATGAAAAAAATATGGATCAAAATTAAATAATAATGGAAAATATTTTGCCAAAGTCACTTTCACATCCAAATTTCAGCTTCCCAACTCAAAAAAGTGTCCAAGACATCGCCTGGACAAGCAGGAAAGAAAAAAATGGAACAATCAATGAGTACCCTCTTTCACACAGCTCCTGGAGTAGGGTAAGGCGGGGGGGCAGTGGCGAAGAAAGTGTGTGCCGCCAAGCGGCTCCTGAGTTTGCCGCGTCTCCCCCCCGTGACCCTACAAAAATACATATTGCACAGTGACTCACTCTTTTTATATATATATATATATATATATATATATATATATATATATATATATATATATATATATATATATATATATATATATATATATATATATATATATATATATATATATATATATATATATATATATATATATATATATATATATATATATATATATTAAATAGTTTGCCTTACTGTTGTCAGACAAAAGCCACCCCGATCAAAGTAGGGGGCTTTTGTCTGGGTGGCTTTCGTCTGGGGGGCTTTTGTCTGGGTGGCTTTTGTCGGGGGGGCTTTTGTCTGTACTCCAGTGAGGATAGTGTCTTAGTATAAAATCGCAATGCTGTGAAACAAAATCTTAATATTTAATCTCAGTACCGCAGCAAAAGTCACATCAATATTTTTTAACCAATACTGTAATATTTCTTACCTTATAGTATTATGTCTTCCAACGAAGTAAATGACTGGATCGAAAACACAAGAGAACTTAAAAGTCGTCTAGCCTCCCCTCGTCTTGTCACGATGGAGACTTGTGCAGAACTGAAGTGAATTGCTTGTAACTGGTGGATTGGTCGGCTGTACATGAACTGATATGACCCGAGACTGCATGGTTTTGCAGCTACTGGAGACGTTAATCCTTCCCTTTGTATCGGCGGCAAGTTAATCCTCGTCGTATCTGACCTAACACCTGACCCACACCACATGAGCTCACTGGCGTACTTGTTTGAAGTTGTTTCCTTAATCCTCAACAGGTTACAGGTTGTGTGTGTGGCGGGGGGCCTCATAGCAAGGGTGTAGTTCATGACGTGGCCGTGATGATGTGGGTCAGGTGTTAGGTCAGACACGACAAGGATTAACTTGCCGCCGATACAAAGGGATGGATTAACGTCTCCAATAGCTGCAGATATGGGTGATGAGCAGACCCAAAAGTGCCGCCCGGGGCGGACCGCCCCCCCCGCCCCCCCCTAGCTACGCTAGTGGGGGGGGGGTGTACTGTGTAAGGGCAGTAACGAGCAGGATGGTTGTCCGCCCCTCGTTTGCTTGTTCGCGTCCCCACTGGGGGGCAAGCACTGAGGGAGAAGATTGCTGCTACCTCGTCACACATCAGACATGAGCCAGTCAGCACCACAGTTGCACTTCCCCTGCTGTTCGATTACAACTCTGGTTGTGTGCTCATCTGAGGCTCCTGGGGCTCGTGGACTGATTCCCCAGTTTTTCACTATTTGGCTGTCAATCTCGGGACACCTACTCCAGCTATTACCGCGGCTGCCACGTCATCGCCACTTCCTCCACGCCCTATCCACCGTCCG